AATACCTCCAACAAGAAATTGATTTTTTAATAAAAATACTTGTTGAAAACTGGCACAACAAAAACAATTTAACTAATATCACCAGAGACTATATAAAAATAGATGAAAAAAACACCAATTATCATCCAACTGACTACCAACCACTTATAAAGCTACCATGGATACCAATTGTTGGTCCCAAACTTAAAAAAAAATTTAAAAAACAAAACATAAAAGTTATATTTACATCAACTCCAAATTTAAAAAATATTTTCTGTGACAATAAAACAAAATTTCCTCCTAATACAAATATTTGGTAGATGCCTGGACCCAGGCATCTACCAAATAAAATGTTCATGCAACTCTAAATACATTGGTAAAACCACTTTCAAATCTTTAATTTGCACTTATTAAAAATAATAATCGATTACTTTTTTTAACTGTTTTTTTTTTTTTTTAATTATCTTCGCTTCCAACAAGGTTGCAAGCAACCACTAATTAGTGTTGGAAGTTACTGGAAGAGAAAAGATGAAGATTGTAGAGCAAGATAACAATTGACAGACGACTTAAAATATTGCAAATTATATGAATCAGGAAAGCAAGATGAAGGAAGCGAATTCCAAAGAACTGATGTTCGAGGAAAAAAACTAGACGAATAAGAGTTTTTGGAGCACTTAGGAACAGTAACAGAAAAAGGATGAGATTTAATTGAATGACGAGTAACACGAGAATGAATTTTAGTAGATGGCACAAGAGGCGCTAGCTCTTTCGAGCAGTGCCCATTATAGTATTTGTAGAAAAGAAAAAAAAGAAGCAACATTACGACGATGTGACAGAGGTTGAAGGTTGGCTGCAAGAGCAGGTCCAACTATGTTTACAATGCGTTTTTGCACCTTGTCTAAAAGAGAAAGGGCATCATTAGAAGATCCGCCCCAGATATGGCAACAGTATTCCATACAAGGCCGGATTTGAGATTTATAGAGATAGAGAATAGAATCCAGAGAAAGAAAGTGACGAGCTCGATAAAGAGAAGCAACTTTAGCAGATGCTAATTTTGCAACTGATTTGATATAAGGTTTCCAAGAAAGATCAGAAGTAAGAGTTAATCCTAGAAGATGAAGGGTAGATGACTCATCGAGTACATTACCGTTCATAAATATAGGAAGGTCTAAATTATTGCGATAACGATTGGCCGAAAAAAATTGAGTTTTATCTGAATTAAAGTTCACCAGCCACTGCGAGCCCCATGCTGTAGCAGAAGTGAGAGTGTTTAATTGCTTATTACATTTGCTGTAGCAGAAGTGAGTGTTTAATTGTTTATTACATTTGCTATAAAATAAAATGTCGAAGCCTGAGTTTTGATATCAAATAAACATTTATTTTTTGAATTGCAATAAGGATATAAAAATATTGCAAAAATGCGTGCAAAGAGCGAAGAAAAAGACAGATACGCGGCTCTTGTATTAAAAGAAGAAGGCTATAGCATCAGACAAACAGCAGGAAAGCTCGGAAGGTCTCACTTTTGCATTATTAACATAATTCAACGATACAAAGAGACCGGGTCAATTAATGATCGTCATTGGACTGGACACAATAAAATTTCAAATGACCGTGATGTTTGCTTGCTAGTGAGATTAATGAAAGAAAACAGACAAGCATCATCTACAGACTTGTCTATGAAATGGACACTGTCAAATGGTCTGAAAGCAAGCCCTAGAACTGTGCGAAGGGTCCTCCACAATTTAAATTATTTATGGTGTGCTGCTGCAAAAAAACCATGCTTAAATAAAAAACAAAAATTTGCCAGGAAAGAGTGGTGCAAACTACATAAAAATTGGTCAACAGATCAGTGGAGCCGTGCGGTCTTTAGTGATGAAATGAACGTTGAGGTAAACAACAGAAAAGGTTGCGTAATGTTGCGTAGACTTCCAAGCGAACGGTTCGATGAATCATGCATTTTGAAACGAACAAAACAAGGCAGTGGTCCAATAGGCATTTGGGCCTTTATGAGTGCCTGTGCGTTTTTCATTTATTCGATGGTAGACTCAACAAAGAAAAGTACATTGAAATTTTGGAAAAGTTGCTTATTCCTAGCATTGATTTATGGCAGTTGCAAGATAGATTTATTTTCCAGCAAGATAATTTGCCATGTCATAAAGTGCATGTTGTTAGCGATTGGTTCAATTCTAATAAAATTCAAATGCTTCCATGGCCTGCCAATAGTCCAGACTTAAATTCAATAGAGAATTTATGGTCGTGGCTTGATCACAAGCTTGGTAAAAAACAACTTTACAATTTGGAAGATTTGAAATCTTCTATCTCTCATCATTTGAATAATGTGCCAGATGAAGTAATCAAAACTTTAATGAATTCAATGCCAAAACGAGTACAAGAGTGCTTGAAAACAAATGAAGGAACGTTTCTAAATTATTTTTTTATTGCTTTTTGAAATATTTTTGAAACTGGTCTTTAAATTTTGTCTAATTTTTTTTTCCATTTATATTTTTTACAAGTCAGTTTTTTAATTTTTTAACATTATTTTGTAAAAAAATTATAAATTCTTTTATAATAAATATAAAATACAATAAAAATTCTTTCTAAAAATGTTTTAAAAATTCCAAAATAAAATTATACTAAGGTTAAAAATAAATTTTGAAAAAAAAATGAGTAGTCTTTAATTTTTGGCCACCGCTGTATATATATATATATATATATATATATATATATATATATATATATATATATATATATATATATATATATATATATATATATATATATATATATATATATATATATACATATATATATATATATATATGTTTTTTGGTGTATTAAAGTGTTTTATTTCGTTTTAAAGGTATTTGAATATATATATATATATATATATATATATATATATATATATATATATATATATATATATATATATATATATATATATATATATATATATATATATATATATATGTATATCCCACACTTAAGATAAAATCTAAGATTGCCTACCTGTTTTAAACAATCAAAAGATGATTTTGATTGAGCCCTTACCTCATTCCAAATATTAAGTATGTAGTAATAGTAGTAATAGTAATATGTTGTTGCAGTGAAATTTTTTAATCAAAGACTCAAAGATCTTGCTAATGAAAGTAAGAAAATTGGAGTTAAAGGTGATTTAAAGTTAAAGAGATTTTAAAATTCTCCAAACTGTTATTTTCCAGATTTAATTAAGTTATTAAATAATTAAGTAGTTATTAAATAATTAAGTAGTTATTAAATAATTAAGTAGTTATTAAATAATTAAGTAGTTATTAAATAATTAAGTAGTTATTAAATAATCAAGTAGTTATTAAATAATTAAGTAGTTATTAAATAATTAAGTAGTTATTAAATAATTAAGTAGTTATTAAATAATTAAGTAGTTATTAAATAATTAAGTAGTTATTAAATAATTAAGTAGTTATTAAATAATTAAGTAGTTATTAAATAATTAAGTAGTTATTAAATAATTAAGTAGTTATTAAATAATTAAGTAGTTATTAAATAATTAAGTAGTTATTAAATAATTAAGTATTTATTAAATAATTAAGTAGTTATTAAATAGTTTTGAAGCAAGTTGAGAGAACACCTTTGTAAGATTTTCTGGAGAACACTTTTGTAAGATTGACAGAAAGTTCCAACCACAATCAATAGAAATATTTTGGTGTGAAATATTGTCCCAACCACAATCAGTAGAACTATTTTGTGACTAGGATATTTAGCAATGGGTTACCTAGTTACTTGGAATTACCTAGGAGATTGTGATCACTAGGTTTAAGAGATGTATTTAAGTTTTTTCCGGGTGATTACATAAGAGATGCAGTTTTTATCATCTCAAGGACCATTACAAAGTAAATCACAGAAGAAACTCGAGTTGGTTTTTAGGTAGTTGTTAAAACTGCGATGATAGGGTGAATTTAATGAAGAAGAAGTTCAAGATGAATGTTATAAAAGTTATACAAGTCTCGAAAACAAAGTTGACTATTTGTTACAAAATTACTTTTTAATTTTTATAAAATTAATTTTTAAAATATAAAATTACAAAGTTGACTTTTTTTTTAGCTTAAGTACCAGCAAAGTTAGTATTACTAGTTATTCAGTGTGGTGACCATTATTAGTCACCAATGATGAGTTACCAATAACAACAATGATGAATTATAAAAATAACAACAATAACAGCAGATAAGTAATAAAATAAACAATTTGATCAAAACTAACATTGAAAAGACTGGGAATAAAAGTGATAAAAAACAAATAAAAAAGTGATTAACTTGGATGGAGTTTGACTACAGCAGGAAATCTTACTTTTAGCTGGTCTCAGAACAGCAGTTTACATATTCTCATAATAAGTATTTTTATAGAGACAATGTCTCTAACTTTTTTTTAATGTTGTTCAACTCCCTCACCCTACAAGAGAGGGCTGCTACAGTCGAAGAGGCTACTTTTTGTGGTTGCAACCCTCTCTTAACTCTTTAACTCTGAAACACAAACCTTGAGGAACTAGGCTGCTGCATGAAGAAACAAGTTGAGAAACAAGTTTTATTTTTACCTGGATTTCCAAGACATGAAATAATTTATAGAGTTTGTGTTTTCTAGTTTTTGCCTAAATAAGAAAGGCATGTGTCATGTTATACTCCTTTATAATTTACCAGGCCAAATGATCCTAATTAGACCAGTTTTATTTACCCATCATCATATATATCCACAAAGATACATTTATTCACTTTTGTTGTATATTTACCCACTCTGTTTTATATGCTGAGTTTTTTTTGTTTTGTTTAATTTTTTTTGTTTTGTGCCCTTTGTAATATATTGATAGAACTATTTTAAACTTCATTATCTATTTTTTATAGTTAAAAATAATATTTTTTTTAATTTAAAACCTTTTTACTAATTTTTAAGTGCAGATACTTTCTGCATCTAATTATTTATTTTTTGCAATGGGTTGTTTTTAAACCTAAATACTTATATTGTTATTTCAGGTACTTTCTGAACCTCAATACTTACTAATAGAGAAAATTAAAACAGTTAATAGTACATACATGGCTGCTTCAGGATTAAATGATGTGGTGAGTTTTATTTTTTTACTTGTGAGAGAATAAATATTCAAAAACTTATTTAGTAATTTATAAGTTTTTTAAAGCTGTAATCACTAATGATGTGGCCAACGTCCTTCTATTTTTGTAGGAAAATGCCGTAAAAATCTAATTTTTAATTAGGTTTGGTGCTGCGCTCTCCTATATAAAAAGAACTATGTTGGTCAGCTTACTAATAAATTATTATTTCAATAATATTTTTTATTAGTCTTGCATCGATGATCAGTGGCAACATCTTGTTACTCTTGTTCAATTTGCATTGGCTATAAAAAAGAAGTTAGATTTGTTAAACGAAGAATCTTTCAACAATTTTCAATTAAGAATTGGTGAAAGCAATTTTTATGAATCAGATTAACACTATAATATTTGACATTCATAAAAAATATTTATCAGTTCCATAAAAATATTCATTAAAATCAACAAATATTCATCAACTTCACAAAAATATCCACCAGTTTTTTAAAAATATTCACCAGCTTTACAAAAATATTTATCAACTTCACAAAAATATTTATCAACTTCACAAAAATATTCTTATATGACACCATAATAAAAATGGGTTATTTTTTTTTTTAATTTTAATCTTTTTTTGCATATATTTTTCTTGAATAGGCATAGCTCACGGACCTGTTGTAGCAGGTGTAATAGGTGCAAAGAAACCTCATTACGATATTTGGGGAAACACTGTGAATATAGCAAGCAGAATGGACTCAACTGGAGAACCAGGAAAAATTCAGGTTTTTAGTTATTACTGTTTTATTACTGATAATATTTATTTATGATTATTACTATTTATTTCTTGTTGCATTATAGGGTTTAGTTAATTAAAGAATTTAGATCTTTTTTAAAAAAAAAAAAAAAGTTTTGTTTTTGCTCCATTGTTTAAGGTCTAAAAATATTTGTAATAAGTCCTATTTAAGATTTGTTAATCGGATTTAATTAAGTTAGTTATCTTAAGTTGAGTTTATATAAAGTACCTTTGGCTAAGTTTATTTCCCAAACAAGTTTTTAGCAATTTTTTGGTTTCCAAACCCAAAAGCAAGTTTTTAAAAAAAATAAAATCATAATTTTTGTTATGCAACACCCTTGCTATACCACTAGGGTGTTGCAGCATTCCATCATTCAACTAGGGTGTTGAATCATTCCATCATTTATTATGGTGTTGAATCATTTCACTATGTTATTCAATCATTCAATCATTTCACCACAGCATTGAATCATTCGATCATTTCACTATGGTGTTAAATCATTTAATCATTTCACAATGGTGTTGAATCATTTGATTATTTCACTATGGTGTTGAATCATTCCATCATTTCACAATGGTGTTAAATCATTCTATCATTTCACTATGGTGTTGAATCAATCCATCACTTGACAATGGTATTGAATCACTTAATCATTTCACTATGGTGTTAAATCATTTGATCATTCCACTAGTATGTTGCATTATTCTATCGTTCAAAATGATTATTTACTGCACAAGTTTCTTTACAAAATGTTTGCTACAAAGCTAAGGCAGCTAGAGAGTCGTTCCTTAAAAAGATTAACATAAATAATAAAATGAAGACACCAATCCTGCTCATTTGAATTACGATTTTTTTTAATTAGATTTTTTTAATGATCAGCGAAATAATCAAAGAGTTGAATGATAAGAGAGCTAAAGACTGTCACTTTCACTCAAAATTTATATTCCAGTTTTCAGTCAAAGATTTTATTATATGTATGCAATTGTATATATTGCGTTATTAATTGATCAAATTTTAAATTTGATCAGCAATAATCATTCGTGGTTTTTAAAAAACTTTAAAAACTTAAAGTTTGTAACTGTATAAATAAAACTTATGGTTTGTAACTGTATAAATAAAACCTAAGGTTTGTAACTGTATAAATAAAACTTAAGGTTTGTAACTGTATAAATAAAACTTAAGGTTTGTAATTGTATAAATAAAACTTATGGTTTGTAACTGCATAAATAAAACCTAAGGTTTGTAATTGTATAAATAAAACTTATGGTTTGTAACTGTATAAATAAAACTTAAGGTTTGTAACTGTATAAATAAAACCTAAGGTTTGTAACTGTATAAATAAAACTTAAGGTTTGTAACTGTATAAATATATTTTGTCTGTTAGTTGTTGTATATACATTTCATTTTGTCTACTTTCTGCTTTAAATGAAAACATTCATCCAGCATTACTGCCTTTTAACAATGCTTTTTTGTATGTAACAAACGTTTATATCTGCTCGTAGTTAAATTTTAACTATATTATTCATTTTTTATGTTTATGTATACAAAAGTATCATCCACAAAAGTATCATGTCCAAGTTTTGTTTTTCAGCAGAAACCGTGATAACTAAGTATTCAGTGTGTAGGGAATTTTTAAAAGACACAGTCTCATAGTGCAGGGAGTTTCTAAAAAACACGCGTTTTTTTTTAAGCAAATTTTATTTAAGTTAGACTATTTTTTAAATATTTAAATTTTAAGTAAATTTAAAACACTTGTCAACAAGTCGTCATTAAATCGTCATAAAAGTGCAATATAAGTTAAAACTAAAGTTTATGTGAACTAGTTTTACGGTATGTTAGTTAGTTTTACCGCATGTAAATTAGTTTTAAGGTGTGTAAATAATAAACATTTTCATTTTTCTTTAAAATGTTTACACTAATCTTTAGATGCTAAAAGAAACTAAAGATATTTTAGAAGTTCGTGGCTTTAATTTTGTAACGCGAGGCTACGTATATGTGAAAGGAAAAGGAAAATTACTTACTTATATGATTGTTACTGATCAGCAGACTTCAGATGGTTAATTGACTTTATGAAATATTTTGTACGGTTGTAATTATTTTATTATTTTATAGGGAATATATTGTAAACATTGTAGTATTTATATCGCTGGTCAAACATATTTTTCGTAATCATTAAAAAGAAACTTGTCAAAAAATTATATTTGTAATAAAAAATTTTGTTGTTTAAAATTGATTGAACGTTTTTACTTTTAAACGTTTTAAATTTTCCAGATAAATTTTTGAACAATAAAGTCAGTTTTCAATAACTTCTTGATGTTAGAGGAGGGGGGGAGGTGGTGGTTACTTAATGTTGAAGAGGAAGGAAGGAGCTAGTGGTTGTTTTCTTGATGTTGGAGGGGGCTGGTGGTTATTTGACGTGGTTTTATAAGCGTGGTTAGAAAAAATTATATATATATATATATATATATATATATATATATATATATATATATATATATATATATATATATATATATATATATATATATATATATATATATATATATATATATATATATATATATATACAGTTTGGTTTACAGCACGATAAAACTAAAAAGTAAATATAAATAATTTATAGGAAATAAAAAAAAAATTATATTCTATTTCTTTGTTTAGTTTTTATGTTTTGGCAATTACCTTAAATTAAAAAAAATAACTTATGGACAATCTTTTTGCCGTCTTTTTTGCGATAATGTTTGATTGCCTTCCCAGTGAGTACAAGACGTGTATATAACGCTTAAAATACCTATTAATAACAACAACAAGCTATTTATTTTTCTTAGATCATTTTTACAATTTTAATATTAATAAAATAATCACAATAATAATAGTAAGAATAACTATTTCTAAAAGTTAGAATAAAATGTTTTTCAGAATTTTTTTTTTTTTGATTTTGTTTAAGATGGAGAAAAGGTATTTTAGGATGTAGTTTTTTAGACTCATTCAATGCATACAAGGCTCCTGAAAAAACAAGATGAGCTAGTCAACTTTCAATCCAATAGTAAAGTATCATTTATATTGCATTATGAGCCGAGCTTTGAAATGGTTAAACTCAAAAAAAAGAAGACACGACCAATAAATAAAACTATTAAAATAAAAAACGAAAGAAAATTTATAAAAATTTTGAAGAAAGCAAAAATATCATAATAAAAAATAAGGGACTTGAAAAGATAACCCTCTTCATAATTCAAATATCGAAATGTGTCTGAAGGAGTTTTTACCCTCGAAATGTATCCCAAAATGTATTTTTATCCTCGAAATGTACATTTGTTTAAAAACTCATCTTGTTACCACCAAATGTTTCTAAAATAAAGTGACCCCCAGCTTTCTGAAAAAATAATTATGCTTTCTCATAATTATTATTTTTTTTTTTTATCATATTAAAATTTGATTAAAATAAACAAACATTGTGACAAACAATGACAAACATTTGTATTATTACATCTACTTTTAATATTAAATAAAAGGTTTGCAAATGCGTCGTTACGCGTCTTATTAAAACTAGCAGTAAGCAACCCGTAATACGCGTTGTTAGTAAATAAAATTTAAAAAAAAAACCGTGTATAGAAAAGCCTAGAAACTACTTTAAAATAGAAAAGCCTAAAAAATGACGTAACTCGACTGATATTAAATTAGCGTATTCATATTATCAGATGTAGGAAAGGGAAAAATAATCACTTGAGCATGCGCAGTTTAACTTCGGACAAATTAAAACTTATAATACGCATGCCCACGTGATTATTTTTTCCTTCCCTTTCCCGTTCCCGTGAAAAAACGGATGAGTGGAAACTCACCTTTACGCATCTTATTAAATTTAATCTCATGTTGCACTATTTAAACAGAAAAAAAATTTTTTATACCATTTTGTTATTTAAGGTTTCTTTTTTAATACAGCTTTAAAATGTTTTTGGTTCTTCTTTTTGATACTCATAATGAGTTTAATTTGATTTAGGCATTTGAAGTTGGTAGATTCTACTCTTGTTGAGATGACGTTGGTACAGTTGATTTAAGTTAAAAAAGTTTATATGGAGTTTTTTAATAACAGGTTTGCAATTGAATCTTGGTGTAGTTTTATGATGAACAGATTGCTTTTAAAAATTGATTGTCTTTATGCAACTATACTTCAAAAGTTATTTGGTCAATTTAAGGTTACAAAACTTTATATATTTTTTTCTTTTTTTCTTTGTGCTGAACCTTGCATGTTGTATTTTTTAGGATTTCTTTAATTTTGGTAATTTTTTCATAAGCATTTTGTCTACTTTGGAGATGAACTACAAAATTGACCAGAATAAAAAAAATAATTGAAATAAAATGTGGTGATCCGCGGAATTCTATCCTTTTTAATGATTTAATTAAAGCTTCCGATTATATGAGCATTATGTTTGCTAACAATAACAATTTATTTTAGCAGACAAAGATATAAACAAACTTTTTTTTAAATATGAATAAGGAACTGATACATATTTCTACCTGGCTCAAATGCTATAAAATAACCTTAAATATTAACAAAACAAAATGGGTTCTTTTCCGTTCCTCAACAAAAAAACATCTTAAGTTTGGCCTAAACCTTTTATCGATAGAGTATAGGTTAAAGAAGATTCCATTATTAAGTTCCTTGGTGTTTATCTTAATAAAAATCTGTTATGGAAAACTTATATTGATTGTATATCAACAAAAGTTGCAAAAAATATTGGAATCCTATATAAGTCTAGAAACTATTTGAATAAAAATAGTTTAAAACAACTATCCCAGCGGGCACAGTACGTTTTTAAAATGTTTTTTGGACTTGAAAATGTTTAAAGAATGTTTAAAAAACGTACCGTGCCCACTGGGATACAACTCATTTATTAATAGCTACATAAATTATGCCAATATTGTCTGCGGAAGTACAGTACTTACAAAAGTAAGTTACAACGTCTTCATCACCTTCAGAAACATGCACTGCGCGTAATATATTTTTCAAATCATTTATCAAATACGATAACTTTATTTAAAGGTATGAGTGTTTTAAACGTTTATGAACTTAACATTCATAATACCTGTAATTCATAATAATGTTTTATGTTTTGTTGTATAAATATCCCATTGTTAAATGCTTTTAAAGATATATGCACAAAGCAAAGAATAAATATTTATTCTTTGCTTTATTCTAATTGCTTTTGCTAACTATTCTATAAAATAGCATGTAACTATTTTAACGAACCCTTTTTGTCAAAAATCTACAATAAAAAACGAATTTTTCTAAAATCAACGTTCTTCAAGCAAACTAAAAAGTAAAAAATAATTTTTCTTAATAGTAATTGAGCTTATCACAATGTCTGATTATATTCCTCTTATAATGATGACAGATTTTATAACAAATTTGATACACGTAAAACGAAAAACGTTTGGTGCATGTTATAAGACAAAAGATTGGTGATCGACCAACACTTAATGGTTTCGTTAATCGTATTTCAGTGCAATATATCTACACTGATCATTAAAATGGCCAACTATACTTAAATTGTAATAGATACACTTAAACACATTCACACAAACAAAGCATTAATTCAAATGTTATACTGCATAATGTCATAACACAGTTAATTCCCAATAATTTGAACCTCCAAGGGACCAAGGAAAATGGTTCGACTTGTAATAGTATGCGAAGTCCCGTTAAGTTAAACTTTGACAGAAATGAGATATAAGTTCGAGTTAAAGCGATTTTTATTTATTATTATTAAACACTAAGTAATTTTTATTTATTTTATTCAGTATAAAACATTAAATATTATTATAGTAATAAGAAGTGTGAAAAAAGTTCAGTGAAAGAAGAAATATCCGCTTCAGAATTTCCGCTTCAGAATATCCGCTTCAGAATATCCGCTTGTATTAGCTTCTCTGATAATTATTTTTCTACAATTAAGTTTATTTGGTTTATACATTTATGAATACACTCCCCATTGTCACTGAATATCATGTAGCTTCGTAGTACTTCGAGGGCTTGACGTACATCACCCGATTGAGGGCAAGTTGGTTCGATCAAAAAATCTACATCACTATCTTCATCTTTTTTAAGCTCAAAATTTTCTTCTAAAACGTCTGATATAATCTCCTCATCATTCATTATTGGCTCGACAGTGTTGACAAAATCATCCATGGATACGACATTTTTTATTTTACTGTTGTTCCTTCAGGAAAGAACTCGTATGTATGAACGGCAAGCTTTTCTAACTGGTCTTTGAGATCCTCAAAGAGATCACCCACATCTACCGAGGCGTTAAAACATATTTTCTCTGAAATTCCAGCTTTAGCAAAACAATTGCAAATAGTTTCGGTCGTCACCTTCCCCCAAGCAACATTAAGCATTTGCATGGCATCCATTATAGTAAATTCTGGAAGAGGCTTTTTTTTTTTTTTATCTATCGCATCTATTAATTTTTGAACAGATTCAAAAATTAATAGATAATGGGCTTTAAGTGACCTAATTACGACCTGGTCCATCGGCTGGAGCATCGAGGTAGTGTTTGGTGGTAAAAAGATTAGTTCTATTGATTCAAGATTATCAATAATTGAATGAGCTTGACAATTATCAACTAATAAAACAATTTTTATTGCTTCCTTCGTAAATTGCCGATCATTTCCACGAACCCATTCCTCGAATAGTGTGCCATCCATCCAAAATTTTTTCTGATGCGATAACGACACTTACATTTTTAAAGCGTCTGGGCAATTTAGCTTTGCCAATAACAAACATTGGAAATTTTTTCCCTAATGCATTAGCGGATGCCAATCCTGTAAGACGTAGTTTGTTGTGGTTCCCACCGACACATTTTTCATTTTTAAAATGTAAAGATTTATTTGGTTGGAGCCGATAAAACAAGCCACATTCGTCAGCATTATAAATCTGGTTCAACTTATATTTTAATAAAATGGTTGGTAACGTGGTTTCCTCCCATGCTGCTACCATTTCACTTGTACGCACATTTGTTTCACCAGAAACAGTTAAATGATATGATGTATTGTTTCTTCCAACGGTCTAATCAACCACCTGAAGCATGAAAATTTGTAACGTTTATTCTTTCAGCAAATTCCATAGCTTTAGTTTTGAAAATTAAAGCAGAGACTGTGACATCTCTGCTACGAATAATCAGAAGCTATTTGAAAATGGCTTGATCCAAATTTACAAATGACCCTTTCCTCGTACGCTGATGTTTTGGGTTGTTTCCTTTCTCTACAGCATCAAAAATCTTTTCCATGTCTCTCAACCAGGTAGATAAGGTGTTCTTTGGTATATTATATAATATACCAAAGAACACCTTATCTACCTGGTCGCTTTGACTTTGAGATACTATCGAATACTTCCTTTAGTGCGTTGTATTTGACTTTAACAGCATTTGTATTCAACTTTCACTCAGTTGCAATTGTCGCCATGTTACAAACTTTAAGTTTAGAAAGCAAGTATTCACACTGTACACTTAAAAGATAATATTGAAAAAAGTTTAACAAAAAAATGCAATACCTAAAGTATTTTATGTTTTATATGACTTCTAAAAAAAAAAATTTAATTAAGTTATTTTGATTTTATTATTTCCCATACAAAAAGTTCGAGTTATCCGAAGAAATTTGCTGAAAGGGGACAATAAAATGGTTCGACTTAACAAAGTTCGAGTTATCCGATGTTCGACTAAACCGGAGAATTTTAATAGTAATCAGTTAGACAAATTCAAGAGACCAAATGAAACAGTTCGAGATAACAAAAGTTCGAGTTGTTCGACTTACCGGGAATTAACTGTATTGTCAAATCACCATTTGCGCACAACGTTTTTCATTTTACATCTATCAAATTTGTTATAAAATCTGTCATCATTATAAGAGGAATATAATCAGACATTCTGATAAGCTCAAAGAAAAATTATATACTACTTTTTAGTTCGCTTGAAAAACGTTGTTTTTAGAAAAAATTCATTTTTTATTGTAGATTATTTTTTACTTTTTAGATTTGTTTGGTTAGAATTTTTGAAACAATTTAAAATATGGAATTACAATGCAGTCAAGCATGGTTTTGTCTAAAAGATAAATTTTCTTTACACAATGAAAACGCAATGCATTGAAATTTATTCATAAATTTATTTATTACACCTTTTCAGCAAATCATATCGCAATAATTATTTTTAACACGTACACTATTTATTATTTATTTGTTTACTAAATTTTTGTTCAATACACGTCCTGAATTATTTTAAATATTTTTTGTCCGTAACAAATTTTTTCCTTAAATGCTCACTAAAGTCGCTATTTATTATTTTTTAATTTCTTGATTTTAACTACTTGTATTATATTTATATTTCAATTTTTGTATAGTTCTGGAACAAGATCAGTATGAACTTATTTCAAATTCTAAGTTTAAATTACTGAAAGAAAAAAAAAGCTTTGCAAATTTTAAGAAAAAGATGAAATTTTGTCAACGTTTTAGACGATTACTAAAACATTATCAGTATACATATCAATCTTTAAATTTTTTTAACACTAAGTAATGTTTATTTTGCGAGAACATCTCATCCTAACTTTTTAACATTTTTAAATTTTAGACTTTTTATTACTTCAACGGGCACAAGTTAAGATTCAAATAATTATTCATTTTTTAATTTATCAATTGTTAAGTCATTGAATTAAGTTAGATTAAAATATTTAATTTTTTTTCATTACAGGTTAAGTGGAAATAAATAGTTCAACAACTGGATCTAAAACCATATTGTAATAACGAAACTGTATTTATTTACTACTTTTTAGTTTTCTATGTACTCCTGTGCGGCATTTATTCAAAGGCGTTATGAAGGATGTTAGGAATTTCTAAAATGCATTTTAGATATCTTGAATATTA